TATATTATTATTATATATATTATATATATATATATATTATTATATATATATATATGTGTGTGTGTGTGTGTGTGTGTGTGTGTGTGTGTATATTATATAAAAATTTATATATTTCTATAGGTATGTCCTCGAAAGGTACGTGCACGTACTCTTGGGTAGAAGTCATTTGGATATACCCGAATCGCAACGCCAACACTTAGCTCCGCAGCATAATCAGCATGTGCATCTCACAAAGTTTGAATTACATGGCTTGAAAGCCATAGTCATGTATCTCCATTCATTACCATCAACGAAGAAAAACGTTCCAGATTTAATACGCGATCCGGTCGCTCTTATTCATGATGTTCGATGTTTAGTTGAACAACATAGAAACGATAATTCAGAAGCTGCTGTGACAGGCAATCCTGTTTTACCACCGCCCCCTCCTTTGACCATTGCTGATAGGGTATTTATTGATCAACTATATGAAATTAAGACAAATATGTTTAAATATTTTAAATCATTCTTGTATCATGTTTTATTAGGAACGCATGAGAGTGACGAGAAAAGTGTTTGTAAAAATGAGACATTCAGACAAGTCCGAGAGGGCGTTTCCGCGAAGAAGACGCACTAGATGTAAAAAGTGTGAGGCGTGCACCAGACAAGATTGCCGAGAATGTGTTTTTTGTCAAGATATGGTTAAATTTGGAGGTAGTGGTCGTGCTAAACAAACGTGCCTCATGCGCCAATGTTTGCGACCTATGCTTCCAGTTACATCATCTTGTAAGATTTGTCACTTGGATGGCTGGAAACAATCGCCCGCACCATTGACGGGTGCGTATATAATTTATGATTAATTAAATATATTGATTAATTGTATTGTGTATGGCGGTACATTTTATATTAGCAAACAATTCTTATATTCTTTAACTATTGTATGATTTAAGTTGTATGCAATCTATATTTTCTTTAATCTGTAAATTGAATGTTTGAATAATAATTACAGGTAAACCGTTTCCCACGATACCATCTACTTTAATGGAATGTTCAATATGCTTTGACATTGTACATCCAGAATGCATTGGCTTGAATTCTAAAGAGATAACTGTCAATGATGATTTGCCAAATAGCTGGGAATGTCCACAATGTTGTGAACAAGGTAGAAACTTGGATTATCGGCCGCGTCAGCCAAGAGGCCGCACGCGAAAATTATCAGTTTCGAGTGCAGCTTCTTCAGCAGCAACTACGGATTCCGAGCGAGCTATGACACCAAGTAAACGGTCAAGACATGATCCTAATGAGGTATATCAATTCTTTCATTCAATATATCTCAGAAGTCGAAAAATTAAGAGATAAAAATAATTCAAGGCTTTTAAGATCAGTTAATTGCAATATTTAATAATAAGAGCCAATATTGTATTATAATGTACACTGTATTAATCAAATCTTTTTTGAGTGCAAAAAGGTATGGATGGTCAAGTGTGTTTTTTGCTTACCTGGAAAGACGTACGATGATAGCCTAGAGATGACGCGACTTCTGTATTAAAAAAAAAAATCATGTAAATTATATATATGTTAAGATAGCAATAAAGTAATGTAAATATTTTTTGATCCTTGTTTGAGATCCTCGAAAATCAGATTAATATTGACGCAAGTTAAAGACACAAGTTATTGTAAAAAATACAATAAATTAGAAAAGATTAAATCGTAGTTTGTAAATCAAATAATCATATTAATAAAATGTGTTAGTGCACAATTAAAAGTGAGGCAAAATTGTCAAATACATATATGTTATTGTCCAAATTCGTTATATAAAAATAAGTTGTATAATAAGATGAAAACAAATGACATGAATACACGAATGACATGGTATATTATATGGCAAAATTATGAATTGTTATGCAATAAAGTGATTAAGAGTTAAAACTATTTGCAGTCAGATAAAATTGATAAACTTGTAAGAGACTTTCAATATTACTAAAGATTTTGAAAACAACATCAAATGTCAAAGAAATATAAATAATCAATCACAATTATAGAAATGAATCTTTCAGAGAGGAAAGCATCATGTATTTCAGAAACAGAAATATAATTAAGACTTTAGTGATCACATTATTAATTTAGAATTAATTTAGAATTAATTTTGATTGGGCTAATATTATACTTGATGAAGAAAAAATCTTAAATAAAATGTTTAATCTCTGAAATCTACATACAGTATTGAATTTGCAAAACAATACGCAGTTCAATTTACCTTAACTTAATTGTTTTAAGAACACATGATGCTTTTCCCCTTCTCTAAAGATTTGTCCTTGTAACTGTAATCTGTTATTTATATTTCTTTGACACTTGATGTTATTCTCACAAGATCTTTAGGTACATCAAAAGTCTGTTCTGAATTTCCAATTATCTAATCATTATGATAAGTCTCAATTACTTCATTATATAACAATTTATAATTTTGCATATATTATGTAGTGCATTCACTGAATTCTGTATTATACTGAAATGCTAAGTGCTAATAGAAGGAAATGGATGGAAAGAAACAGAAGAAAAGTTCCATCTGTATTCTTTTTTTCATGTTGGACTTTGAAAAGATCACCGTTGATCACTAATCAGAAATTGCTACATAGAAGGAAACTGAGAAAGAACTTATGCTATCTATTCCTTATCTCAGAAGAGTTCGGCTAGTGCATTTAAATCATATTTTTATTTATCTTATTATATCTTGTTACATTTAATGTCTTATAATGAATTTAGATCATAAATATATATTAATTATGTATTTGGCAATTTCCACTTATCTTTGATTGTGTCTTTCACATTATTTTACTATTATGACTGTTTATCTTACAGATCATTAAATTTATTCTTTTCTAATTTATTGTATTTCTTAACTTGCATTGATGTATTAATTTGATTGAGAAAAATCCAAACAAAAATCACAATTTCTACATTATTATTTCATCACTCTATATATATATAATGTGATATATATATATTTTTTTTATATACATAATTTACATGTATATCGAGTATTGATTATTATTAGCATCATTCATAAAAATATATTTACTAAATATTTAGATATTTTTAGATTATATAATAGATTAATTTTTTGCATGATTGAATTAGCGTAATGATTTGAGATTGCGTAAGCCACATTGTACAGGATATTATTGTATAAATTTCACAGGTTTTTTTTTTTTTAGGCATGGAATGATTCGCCAGGAGAACCAGCCGAAGGTGAACAGAAAATGAGTCAACAGCGCACCCAGTTAGCTATGCAGTTGATTGCCTCAAGCAGCAGATCTTTGGTGAGGCCGCACATAGTAGTTAGGCCATCGGTGCTAAGGCCACCGCCACCTATCCAAGAAACAGACGGCGAATCAAATGAGCAGAATGTAATGTACAACAAGACAGCAATGCTTGCAATATTTCAATATCTTAGCATGAAGGATTTGCTTAATTGTGCCTTGGTCTGTCGTACCTGGGCGAGATATAGCATAGATCCCAGTCTATGGAAGAAACTCGATATGTCACACTATAGTCTCCGTTCTTTACACTTGACCGCTATTATTCGACGACAACCCGAGAGTCTTTTACTAGATTGGACTAATGTCAATAAGATGCAATTAGCTTGGTTGCTGAGTAGATTACCACAGTTACGAGCATTATCCCTTCAAGGCTGTACTTGGGCTGGTGTTCGTGCCTTGAAGAGCTGTAGTTGCCCGCCTCTAGAAAAACTGAATCTGAATTATGTTACTTCTCTAAATGACGCCGTTTTAGAAGAAATCTTAGATTCGCCAACGGATTCAAGACCAGGTCTTATAGACAAAACATCGCGACTAAAACATCTCAAGAATCTGTCTCTAGCTGGATGCGATCTCACGGATCGAGGAGTGAGATACATAGTTCAACACTTGTTGGATCTTGAAATCTTAGATCTTTCTTCGATCGGCAGACTCACTGACGCCGGCGTGGCGCACTTGATGTCGCTACCAAAACTAATGTCACTGAATTTAGCAAACTGCAAGTTGCTCACTGAAACAACTCTCGACCACTTAACGAGATGTAAAATGTTAAAACGTCTGGATCTACGACACACAACCCAAGTATCGACGCAAGCAATTATTAAGTTCGCTGCCAAGAGCGAACACAACTTACACGTGACAGATGTTAAGCTGGTCGAAGAGAAGAAAAAGACCAAAACCGAATTCATGGACACGTGAAAAAGCATAACGCTCACACACGAACTATTGTTCAGTGCAATCCGGTTATCGTCGCATGAGAACATCGTTTACAGAAAATTAGAGCCATAATACATTCTACAATCAGTGATTATTTATTTTACATGAAAAAAATCTATATCATTACAATGCATTTTTACGACAACAAAAAGGACCTGACTAATATAGAATTTTTATTTGGGTAACACTTATTTTATCGATATAAGACAAGAATGATTTCTTCGCAATTTGAAAATTTTTATTATCCATTTCAATTATTACAAATATTTGTCTATTGATTATCTACTCTATTGTGTGATTCATATATCACATTTATATTTTTCAAATCAAAACCAAAAAAAATCCAAACCCTGAATATTTCCAAATGATGTTTTGATAAATATTTTGTTATATTTCGAGCTGACTTTTTCTTTGTAAAAATCGAAAAGAAGTGGTTTTCATTTTTTTTTTAATTTTTTCATTATATAAAGCACAAATAAAAATTGTATTAAATTATAGAACATAATTTTGTTATTTAACATTTCAAACTTTCAAATTTGCAAAATTAACCATAGAATTTTTTCATTAAAAAAATATTTGATGATTTGAAACATTCAATGTATACATTTTCGCACGAATGTACACACAAACACAAGTGTTAATAACTGATATACATTATGATTATTATATATGTATTATTAATGATATATAGATATAATTAATATACATGTATTTACATATATATTACACGTATATTAATTATATAATTCATAGATATACAAATATATTTTTGTTTATTTTGCATTAAATCTATTTATTCTGCTTCATTAAACCACCAAATTTTGTAAAAAATGCAAAGTAAGAGTAAAAAAACACAATGTTCCTTAATCATATTATCTTTTTTATATTTGGTATATTTTATACGCGCGCGCGCGCGAAAATGTTAATTAAGTTACAAAAATAAATCTACTAAGTTTGAAAAAATGTACGAAAGTGGAATGGTACATAAAAATTTTATAGAATTATACTCGCATCAAAAACAGTATTTTTCGCGTAGATTATTGAAAATAGGAAGCGCTCGAAAATAAATATTTATCTCGCATGAATATCTGAACTCTCAACCAAGAAGAATACATCGCAAAAATGAGAAAGTGATCTATAATTATACATTACATATACATATGTACACAATTTATCTGCAAATGTGCGTTAAAATGTCAACTGTATTGTTTTATATTATGATGATTTTACATGTTGAAGGAAGACAGCATGTATGTTTCGAATTTTCATTTTTGATTTGAATTTCATTTTGTGATGTTTTGTGCAAGCCAATGTACATACATACCTGTTTTTTTATGTGTATACATTTCAATTGTGTATCTTCTTTCTTCTTTCCGTTCTTTAAATGTGCTTTCGTGTAAAAACAATAAGGATAAACGAATTAGATATCGATTCAAGTGCCATCGTGCATATTATGAAATTTCTCGTTCTTTTTATGATCTAATGCAACATTACGATCATGTGTATCGTTTGTATTATAATATTTTGAAAAAGATACTTTGGTAGCAAGAACGTTCTTACAAATGCAACAAATTTTATTACCTTTGCCGAGGACATTTTATCACGAACGAAAATCGTTCTCATCTCTTTTTTTACTTATATAATTCAAATTTCATTTAGCGCAATTTAACAAGAAGGAAGTCGCCACGCTGTAACACATTGTATAATACATGTAATTCACGGAGAGCAATAGCGATCTCTGATTCCAAAATATAATTTTGATTTGTACATGATTGTTAATTTCACCCCTCTTTCTTCATTGTCCAATTTCTTCAATTTACACCCTGCAATTTATAAACGTGTAGAAACATGAATTGTGTGTTTCAAGAGAAAATCTATCAATAAAAATAATATGTCTAAATTTTCTTCTTTATAGAAGAATTTGTTAAGAATATAAATCTATTTCACACATTCTTTGAACAATCAAATTTAAAAAATATATATGTTAATTTAAAAATTTATATAAATATTGTATTTAATTTTTTCAAAATTGCATTAATTTTAAATTAATGGAAAAGAAAGAAAGGGAAAAAGAAATAAAATCAGTACACAAAAATCAGTAAGATCGATGTCCATTACCTGTATCGATTGTATATTTAAAAACTTATTCAGAATCATCCAACGTGGATAAAATCTTCTCTGAAATAAAAAAGGCACCTTTTAATTTATATGCAATAATAGAAATATAAAGTATAGAATTATGTTTTTCGTGTCTCGCATAGTTTGCGTAGTTTGCGATGCACGAAAAAAAATTTTGCTGAAATATTTTAGTAGAAAATTTTTGGTTACAACAATGAAAATATTTTTTAACACATGTTTCTATTTACTAATTATTTTGTTAAAATACAAAATTATTTTGCTATAAGAATTCATTGATTTCTATTCTGTCATTTTATATAGTTTAGAGTGTGTTTATTAATATAGTTTTAATAAGAGCAAAATGCAATATATATATATATTCAAATTTATAACCTTAAGAATAAATTTGTTCTCATTGTTAATAAGAAAATCGATTTTATCTGATAATTGAATGCGATAAATGTTAGTCTCCATAAAAATGAACGATAATTTTGCAGTGACAGCAAAATCTTTTCCTTTCTGTAAAATTATGAATTTTGTAAACTTTTCCTTTCTGTAAAATTTGAATTTCGTAAATTTTCTTTTGTTTCTTTTAACAACAAGATCTTATATTAAATCTTATATTAAATATTAAAAAATAAATTATCGACACATTAAGATTCACTAAAAATTTTAAAAACTTTATTTCTGAAGATAGTTTAATTGGATACAAAAATATTCCCAAGTGGAAGTATCCAGATCAACAAAACGAAAAAAATTGGAGGACACTCGATCAATCAATAAAGTTTTTGAGACATTCATTTATAGATCGACCGATTTATTTTTCAGTAAATTATTAATAAAGTACTTAAACGCGCATAGAATTTGTATCGGTCTGGTCTCATTTCTCTTTCATCTTTCGTCAGTAAAGTTCAAGAAAATTTAATAAAGAAATAGGAAGTGTGTTTGACAAGCATTTTTGCACGAAGTTTTAAGGCAATTTCATTTTTCTCCTTCTGTTTAAAAAAATATTTAGAGCGCACGTCGCACGTTTGTGTTGTCTAGTTGAAGATAAAAATCACGTTTTCTTACAGTACTTTCTGTTTCGATTTCTTTCAAGTATCTCTTTATTACAATAAAATCTATTTTGTATCGCGTAACGTACATATTAATGATATTAATAAACATTATCGTAACTACAAAAATTCTGTAACATTTTTCTATTTTTACGCTAATTTTAATATGCTTTGTATTTTTTTAATCCAATCGATTTTTTATTCAATATTGCTGTAGAATAGTTATTCAAAAATGCAATTGCAATAACTTTAATTATTGCTGTTGTCATAATTAATTTTGTATTTTATTTTACAAATGTTTTGAAATTAATATTTAATTTAAGGATTATATAACGATCTATTTATATTCAATGATGACTTTTCTAATTAAACATTTCTTTCGTTTGCGTCATGTTTAGAAATTGTATCATGATTATTATTATCAAAATAAACCAAATAGATATCTAATAAGGAAAAGTTTTTATGTGCTGTGCTCAACGATCAATTTCATCTATTTTTGATCGATTTAACTAGCTGAAAAATGTTTTTTTTAAAAATCCATCTTGACTTAAACAGTTGCTTCTTAAATATTCTTAGAAATATCATATATAAAATCATTTCAACCAAATCTATTTGCTTCGTCAGTAAGCTATTACAAGAAATTTTATTCGATCAATAATAATTTATTAAAAAATATCTTACACCTCTTAAGATAACAAAAGAGGGAACGATTGCTTTTTCACTACGATATATATCGAACTTTTGTTACTACAGAATATTAATCCATTGTTTCTTTATAGTTCTTCAGTCTTAATTTCAAATTTCAATTTGTTGCAAATTGCGCATTAAATGATAAAACAAAGCGTTCATCTTAGACATGTATTGTATTGAAATAAATTATTCACTAAGACGTAATTAACATTTTGCCTTAACAACGTTCGATATTTCGCAATTGTACAGAGATGTCCATTACAAGTCACAAATTTAATGTAAATTCTTGTTTGATAGTGTGCGCATATATAAATGTTTGTGTTTTTCAATACAATACACATGTTAAAGAAACTATGTGTTACTTGTTAAATTAATTTTTTAAAGGCGAAATTTCTTATTTCACCGAATTAATGCATATAGCGTTCTTCTAGTCATCATTCAGTCTTTTATAAATAAAAAACTTTCACTCTACACTCTACATATATATGCTGAATTCAAACTAATCAAATTATAATAAGCAACATATTCGTAAACGTTTGTTCGTTTGTCCACGTTCAATTAATCTGGACGCGACTTAATGCAACATAATGATATTTATGCGTTGCAATTATTATAATATTAAAAGATTATTACATTATTACGAGCTGAAAAAGCTGCATCTAGCGTTTATACAAGCTTTTACATTTCACAAGCTTGAAAACCGTTTAAAATCCGCAATAAAACAGTCAATGTTCATAAATTTTTTAATAATTATATTTTGCGACACAGTTGACAGACATCTCTATGGATTATCGCTGTTCCCTATAGAAATCTTTCGATTAAGTGTGCATGTGCAGTGTACACGAGTGTGTAAATCATTTTTATAACGTACAATTGTCTATATTTTAATAATATGTATATGTGAGTGTGTATACAATTTCTGTTGAAATATTCTTCGCTGTATGTTTAGTCTAACCTAGTTCCGCTAAGACAGAATCAAGATCCTCCTGCAAGCTGATACTATCCTCTCGCTGCTTCACCAGACTGTCTTTGATTCTGTCCACTTGCGCCTTTAATAAATAGTTTCCCTTTTTCAAGGCCGCCAATCGCCCCTCGTGTTTCTTCACGCGTTTCTGAAAGAAAACAAAAAGCGAATCAGAAATTACATTCAATACACGGCAATAATTTCTTCGCACGGCGGAAGACTCACTTGCAAAATGTCTTTACGTTTCTCGATAGGTGCCTGCTCGTCGTCAGGCTCGGACTCCTCTTCTTCCGATTCCTCAGACTCTGATTCTTCCTCAGATTCCGTCTCCTCCTCCTCCTCCTCCTCCTCGTCCTCGACTTCTTCCTCTTCCTCATCGTCGTCATTGGCATCTGACATCAGCTTCGCCATTTTGTCTACTTGTTTCTGCAATTGTTTGTACTTCTTCTTTTCTTCAAACAGTAATTTCTGTTGCTGTTTGATCTGCTCCTTCAATGCATGTCTTTCTTTTCTCGCGTTCACAGCCTTGTCCCTATTCAGGCAATTTTTCGTATTTAATTTTTTGTATTATTTAATGTATATTATCGTTGCTTATAACAAATTGAACGTATCTCGTAATCTTCATCGTCACTCACTTGAAATTCTTAATTTTGGAAATGAGAAGCTTGACCTCTCTCTGCGCGCGTTTCTCTGCTCCAGCTTTAGGATCGTCCTCTTCTTCCTCCTCTGTGCTCTCTTCTTCCTCCTCACTTGTGCCGCCAACGTCCTGTTTGTCTATACTCTTTTGCGATGCGATCCTGGCTACATCCTTCGCGCTTGGACAACCGGCCAGTGCCATTCCTGTAATATCGTACCATCCAATGTCTTCCCAATCCTCTGCTAGTTCCACTATCGGCTCAGCTTCAATAGGCGTAAGCTTTTCTTCTAATAAGCAAAGCAAGGCAAAGCAAAGCGAAAAACAGCGATGTTAATATAAGCACTGATATAAAACATAGGAAGAATAATATGACATGTTTCAAATTAATAATAATAATGATCCAGTTGTACGAAAAGTGATTAAGTTCACTGCGATAAGCAAGGCAGATGAGAACGCAGTTAATTCGAAATTATTTTTTTTTTAGCGAAACAAACACTCTCTTAATTACGAACCAGCTTTCATACGCTTTTCCAACGCCGCATACATTCTTTTCATTTCTTCCAACTCGCTTCTAGCTTTGTCTCTTTCCTCGGCAGCAACGGCGAATTCTTTTTCCGCCTTTTCCGCATCTTTTCTCGCTTGCTGTATCTCCCGCCTCAAAGATTCTGTAAGCTTTTCGTCCTGCTGCTTACTCTCCTGAGCGTTCTTTTGTAGCTTTATACGTTCCACTTCCGCCTCAAGATTCAAAATTCTCGCCTGCGTATAAAAGTAAGAATTTAGCTCACTTTTTTATGCTTATCCGCTCGTGCTGATTATAATTTACATTTCGTTTAAATAAAAATATAAAGAATTTCAAATAGCACGAGTTAAAGTAAACGTCTCCTCTTCTACGAAACTTTTCTCAAAATGCTAAATCTTAATCTTATTACCTGCAAACGTTTATTATCTCGTTCCAAAGCTTCTTTATTTCTAAGCTCCAGCGCGAGCATCTGCTTGGTGCTTTGCAAATCGTCTCTTACAGCGTCAATGTCGTCCATTTCATCCTGAATGACATCATCCACTGGCGCCTCCTCGGCCTTCTGGATTTGTTCCTCGATGGTCAGCTGTCGTCGAAACTTTCTCAGACCCTCCAACATTGGTTTTGAGCGGTCATTCGTCTTCACACTTTTGAGCTTTACGCCCTGCTGAATCTGCTTCAGCAGCTGATTGTGCATATTCGATTTTTCAGATTCGAATACGAAGTGGGCTTTGCCTGGCAGAGAAAGAGACAATCGATCAAAATGAAAACGTACATACATGTGTGTTGCTGCCGCTTTATCGTATTTCATTTTAATAAAATCACGAAGTGTTCCGTATCTAATACGTCGTCTTGTAGCAGCAAAAAGGAAATAAGTATTTTCCAAGTCGTAAAGCAATATAAGAATATGGTTTTATATTACGTTATTTTATATTACGTTATATATTAGAATCAAGGAAGACAATCTCTGTATATATCATCGTATTTCTCAACTTAGTCTTGACTTTAACAAAGGATTTAAGTCTATATTTAAATTGAGTAATGAAAATTGAAAAATTATTCATAATAATTTTTGCCTTATTTCTCCTTCAAAATTTATTTGCTAAAAATTAATACTGTAAATGTAACAGAATAATATTTTGTTCAGCTTGACAGAAGCGTATAAAAACATCGTATAAAATCTTTACGAGACCATTAATTGATACTTAACGCTTCGTATTGGCGTATGCATTTTTAACGAGCACGACGTCACCTGCCTCTGAACCTGACGTTTTCGTTTCTCATCGAAGTTGTCGATTCGGAGAGTGAGAGATCCTGATCGCTGCTCGCTCGCGCGACAGGAGAGAAAGGGAAGGATGTCGGTAAACCCATTGAGAAACACGAAGACAACAGTTAATTCAACGATAATCAATTAACAGTTTAATTAGTCCAACAGTTTAACAATGGATAAACGATGGCTCGCCTATTGGCGGGCGTAGAGGGTAGTTCGAGGGTGACATTGGAGAGGGGGGGGGGGGGGATAGCGACAGAACATTACTGCTGGCTATTTGTACTATAAACGAGACGCAGAGGAACGTGTTGCGTTAATCTAAATTTCTGCTTGCGCATCTAATTGATCGCACTACGTCGCTCACGTCGCCCCTTCAAACGATCACGCAAGAAAAGAAAAGCGGAGGAAGTAAAGAAACTCTCTCCGCGAAGTACAGTTTTTCTCTCTACGACGATTTCTCTTCTTAAAAAGGAACACTTTCTACAAGGGGGGAAGATACGGCCCCTTTGGTATTTGACGGGGATCGAAGAGGGTTCGACGATCACCTGCTGGATCGGCCGTGACTTTGTTCACCCTCTCGATCAGGGGCGCGCTCCGGTCGTTACATTTGACATGTCTGAGCTTTTTGCCACTCTCAACCTCTTTCATCATGTTGGCCCAATCCGGCCGTTTTCTCGGCCTGGACTTCAATACCTCCAGTTTCTGCATTTGGTTGTCGTTGAGGGGCGGCAAATCTTTGAGAATCGTACGACTGGGTGGTGGTGGCGGCGGCCGTGGTGGTGGCGGTGGTGGAAAGTTTGCTCGTGACGAGCTCTTCGATAAAGTTGGAGCACCTTGGCATAGAGCATGGTCCTCGTTATTTAAGAAAGGTATAATGTTAAAGTGCACAAAAATCATTGTTTCTATCTGATATGTGTAGGAATATCTTTCATTTTAATAGATAAAATAAAAAGGTTTCTATTTTTGAATGCTATAAAACTATATGTTTCTTAGCTTTATGTCAAGTTTTACTAAAATAAAAAAAAGATATTTCATATTTAATCCTTTCAACATTTGTGACACTTTACAAATTTATATCGTTACGTGACCGTTTTGTTCACATCTAACTAATGCCATTTGATTTTTCTTGTAATGAAAATTATTTGTAATTTTCCTTTATTTTTACTTTATTTCTCCATAAAACTGTTTTAGATTCGGCTTTTTTATGATCAATGATCCGATCTATTTGACGATATTATTAATAAACTACTTCCATCACGCGGAGGAAGTAGTTTTTGTTTCAGCAAAATCCCCGAGCTGGGGAAAGGAGAGTTCTGCATTCGAGAGTTTAATGAAAGGATTAAACATTTGATACCGTGAATGACAGAATCTAAGGGAAGGAATGACGATCGTCGTCGCTCGTACCTGTAGTGCTCTCACTCTTCGAGAGTGTTAAAATGTCACCCCGTGATCGAGATCTTTCGATACGGATCTGTCGTTCGAGTTGCGGCCTCGAATTTGGCTCCTGTCGTCCATTCTCGCGCGGCTTCGCTGGCACCGGTCGGCCACTCGGGATTTTTTCATTATTCTGCTGCGATGGTATTATCGTAATTTTGCTTTGTTTACGCGGTTGTCCATCTGACGAAGGTGCTGCTGGCTCCGCAGGTTTCGGCACACTCTGTTAAAGAATCAATACTTATTTAATTATAACTGTTAATAACAAACACATTGAAAACATTAATTTTAATTTTAATTATACAATTGTATTAAATATTATTAATTCAAAAGTACTTTGAAATATATGAAAATATAATATATATATATATATATATATTTAATAATTTTATATA